TCTGCAATCAAATTGATAGAATAAAAAATATTCCTCTGCAGTTTTGGCCCAGGACTATGTTAACTCTTACACCCTCTGTCATATAGAGATCTGGAAACCTGGGCATCCCACAGAATGTCACACTGATACCCAGTATTGATGACCTCATTCTAGTCTGAGCAGATGGAAAGAATTGACTAGTATTATACACTGGAGGCCCTTAGTAAGATACATACATTCCAGAGGATGAGAGATAAACCCCAGGAAGACTCAGGGGCTTGCTATGTCAGTAAAATATTTAGGTGTTTGCCAGGGCATCTCATCTGAAGCAAAGAACAAAATATTGCATCTTGCATCTCCCACCATATGAAGAAAGCCCAAGGCTGACTTTGAGGACAGACTTAACGATATTCTCCAATAGCTATGATCATTCTGCCAGGAACAGCAGAGGGGACCACCAACAATGCTAGGATTTCTGTATAAATGAACATTTGTTGAGACTCTAAAAGGACTATCAACAACAAAAGAGAATAGAAAACATGAAACTTGATCACGTTTCCAAGCTAGTATATCAATTAGCTATCGTTGCATAAAAAAACCACACAGTCATTTATCTTGTGATTCCATCATCAATTTGGTCTGGACTCAGTCGGATGGGTCCTCTGATTTTGCCTGGGCTCACTCATACATCTGAGCTTAGCTGCTGAGGCATCTAGGGACTGCTGGCTTGGGATGGCCTCATCTGGGACACCTCACCTCTGTCCCATGTGTTTGCTCTCATCCCCAGCGGGCTCCCCTGGTCCCAGTCACATGACATCTGGGCAGGGTTCCAAGAAAGAACAGCAGCACATGAGACCTCTCGAGCTCCCAGCCATGCCACACATCACTCCTGCAGCACTCTGCTGGCCAAGGCCACCACGCCACAGGGCAGCCCAGACTCAAGGGGAGGGGAGCAAGACGCCACCTCTTCATGGGAGAGTTGCAAAGTCATATTACAGACAGCCTGGAAATAGGGAAAAGCGAAAGGTTGTGGCCATTTTTGCAGCCTACCAGTCTGCTAGGATCTGAATGAGTTAACATTTGTGGCACCTCCCAAGGAAGAGCAGCCCTTTAGAGAGTGAGGAAGGGAAGGGCCTGGTCACAGTCCGAGGCCAGTCATTTCGAGGCAAGCATCAGAAATTCCTAAACGGATCTGATGTCTCTCCTTAGAAACGCAGCGGGACAAGGCAGCCCTGGCCAAGCCCTGACCTTCACTGCACCTTTCTCTGCCTCTAAAGCGACCTCTGTGTGTCCCCGTCCTCTTTTAGAGTCAATTTAGAAATGACTCCATGACTTCTGCCTTCAGAACAGAGCAAATGTGCAAATGTACTGAAAGAGGTGGACAATTTATTCAAGAAAAATAGGAACAAATTATTTTAATCTACCTGGCATCCTCCGGCATGATTTTTATGACAGTCTTTGCTTTAAAGAAGAGAAACAAGGAAATAATCTGACACATAAACTGCACTAAAATGCCATCAAGTCTGCACACACAAAGAAAGAAACAGAAAGAAAGGAGAAAAATGCTGAAAAGATTGAGGTTGGGAGCCAAGCGCAGCATATGTTTTTGAGAATCTAATTTTTACAATGAATCTCCGGGACGGCTGTCAGAGTGACCTGGGCGGGTGAAGCAGTAAGACACGGTGCGTGTAACCTCCACCCTAGATCTCATCGTCAGGATACCCATGTGTCAGTTGTCACTTTCTTCTCCTTTGAAAATTGGCATTTAATGAAGCAAAGTGCAATTTCCTAAATCCCCAATCCATGTGTTTACTTTTATTTGAAAAAAATCTTTCCTCTGTTCTTTTATTTTTTCTTGTTTCCTTTTTTTTTTTTTAATTCTTTTTTCTCTTTTCTCTTCCGCATTTAGGAGTGAGGATGTTCACCCTTTGCTTCCTGGTCAAGTTAAAAGCTCAAGGAATCAGAACTAGTGAACCTTTTGTTTTCCCTCTTTCCAGTTCGAGATAGGATGAGGTCAGGTAGATTTGCAGGATAGCAGAGGTGCAGTCAGTGTTACCTAACCAGGGCTCCAAGAACAGGAATTGGGAAGGGAAAAAAGGAGGTAATTAGGCCTCTCCCTCCTAAAAATGCCTTTAAAATGTAGACTTAAGAGAACATGTGCTGGGAAATCAAGCAGAAGGAACTGAAAAAGCTCTTAGATTTCAAAACTCAGTGTGCTCCTAAGCTTGAAGAGCTTTAGAGACCTTCTAGCTGCAAACCAACCTGATCCCCCTAAATTAAGCAGATCCCTGCCTGAGCCCAAGAAGACAGTTTCCACAAGAGCACCTGTCCTGAAAGCGATTCTTGGATATGAATCGGTAAGATACTCTACATTGAACATACCCTAATGAGCTTTCTGTATTCAAAAAGACCCAAAAGAGGGAGGCAGCACCCCATGGTGGGAAAGAGCACAGACCCAAGCCACACTTCCTGGGTTTGAATCCCGGTCTCTTCCAGGGTTAAGAGTTGAAGGCGTCCCCACCCTCCAAAACTCACAAGTTGAAGTCCTAACCCCAGCACCTCAGAATGTGACCTTATATGGAGACAGGGTTTTCACAGAGGGTAATCAAGTGAAAATGAGTCATTAGGGTGGGCCCTACTGCAGTGTGACTGGTGTCATTATAAAAAGGGGAAATTTGGATGCACAAACAAGCACCCAGGGAGAATGTCACATGAAGATGAAGACAAAGGTCCAGGCAATGTATCTACAAGCCAAGGAACATCAAAGATTGCCAGCAACCCCCAGACGTTGGAGAGACGCCTGGAACAGATTCTCCCTCACGGGCTTCGGAAGGAAACAACACTGTCAATATCTTGACCTTGAACTTCTGGCCTCCAGCACTGTGAGGGAGTACGTATCTGCTGTTGAAGGTACCCAGTCTGTAGTGCTTTGTGATGGCAGCCCTGCAAGTCCATATGACATCCATCCATCCATGCGACTCTGGGCAGGGCTTCTCTTCACCCCGTCTGTAACGTGTGGGTGATCACATCATTGTCTAACTCAGAGGGTTGCTAGAAAGGTCCATTAAATGAATGAATTTAATTAAATGAATTAATACTACAAGTGTTTCAAACGGATGTTGACACGAAGAGAGAGATATGTGAGCATTTGTTCAATAAAAATATTTAAAAACGAACACCTGCACAGGTCATTGTAGGAATTATTAGTGAATTTGCTTGGCTCCCCTGTCCTTGTGGTGTTAAAGGGGAAATAAGAAATTCTTTAAAAGCCTAAAAGCCATTACTCATTCCAAGCATTGTCCATAGATTGTTATAATTAGAGCTATGCTGTTTTCTTCGTTTTTCTCTCAATAGCGTGATCTGGCAGTGCCTAGGGCCTTTAGGTTTCTAATGAATTATTAATCCAGGAGTTAATAATTCATGTTAATTGGTGCTATAAGCCACTTTCTCTGGCAAACGTGAGCAAAGGTCACAACTTTTTAACAGCAAAGGTGAAATCTTGCTAAATTTTTTTTTCCATCGCCTATCACGGAAATAGTAAGATATGAAAGACAAACTTTGACCAGAGCTAGGAAAGCAAGAAAATCCCAAGGGTGAAGGTGTAGACCTCCAGTTGCCATGTGTGGACCAGCGCTGCTTCCATAGCCCTGCAGGCGGGAGAGGACGTCTCCCCCAGCCCCACGGAGCATTCCCAGGAAGGATTCAGCCACCCAGGTTTGTGAACCTTTGACAAGATGACGTATAATAATTAAAATGTTGACTCATTGATCAAAAAAATTTTTTTAAGGAAAATAAAAGAAGGGATTTGAGAGACTAGCTCACCAGTGGGGTTTTTCATAAAGAATGATAATTCTTCCAAGGCACAGACTTAAGAACACAGACCATTCATGCTGGGTGACAGCTGCAGAATTCTAAGCTGCCTTAGAATTTGACCACTGTTGACTTCTTTGAATTGAATTAATGTATCTATGCTCTGCCTTTTCTCTCTTTTTTTTCCAGAAAGAATTTGAGGTTATTCCTGATTACAGGCCACAGAAGGCAAGAAATAAAGCCTTCTTACCTGGACAAATGTGTATTTACTTTCCAACTCACTGGATCTGTGAAGCAGCTACGAATGACCTAGACGTTCTGGGTGTTTTATACCTTTTTTAGTCTTGATAATTATTTGAAAGCTTCATGTCAAGTCACAGACTGGTATGATGAAATGACTTCTTCCCATTTGGAAAATAAGATTATTCTTAGTAACTTTTTTCAGTCTTGATGAAAAGATAGATATAAAATATGCAAAAAATGATGTCTGAAGACTTAAGATAAAATTTACATGGAAATCACTAGATTAAAGAGTTTCAAGGCTGGAAGTCAAATCCCCCAGCTCTTGTTTTTCTAAAGAAAATTTGAATAGCATATGCTTTTCATTGTACTTCTTTTCAGCCATTTACATATTAGGGAAACGTATATTTGGCAACAGGTCCCATTTTTAGGAGTCCTTGAAACTTGCCCTTTGAAAATGTTTTCATTTTTGGCACATGTGTGTGTTTTAAGCAGAATGAAAACACAAAGCAAAAAAGAAAAATATGTACGAAAAGGAATGATTTTTCCAGCCCCATGTAGCACAATAAGAAAGCAATCATTCAGTTGTGACTTTAAAAATGGATTCTTGCCTAGATTTTTCCAACTATTTCCTTCTAAATGAGCGTTTTTCTACAGAACTGAACTAATATAAAGAGACAGGTTGTTCCAGTGCCAGAACTGAACAAGCAAGAAAGGACGGAGGCTGTATTTTCATAGGAGGAACTTAACCAAATAATACCCACTCTGTTTCCCTGCATGTAGCCTCTTGAGTCAACTCGGAAGAAGGTGCCATATGCCCCGTTTTGTGCATGACTTGAAGCAGGTTTTCCCGGCCTGACTTTTGATCGCCACTAGATTTCTATTACTTGCAGTCAGTAACAAAGATTCATCCTTGTGTCCATGATGCAGCAAGGAGAATCTTTGTCACTTGGTGTAATTAATAGCTGGACCTCGCGTGGGAAGATGGGAGAAGGAAGCCCTCCACGTATACCCCTGGCTGATTCGGAACAGCCTTCATGCATCTCTGCTGCCTTTTGACCAATTAAGATTCCAGAATTCCAACAGAGGAGGAAAGATGGTAAGCAAAGGGACTCCTTGGGGTCTGTGTGTGTTCTACCTCCGAGCCTGGTATCAGTAGTCCAAGAGAGCTCTCTTACGTCTCCTGTCAATCAGGATGACCTTAAGGGCTGTCCCCTACTTGCGTGTCCTACACCAGGGTACTTCCTCCTCCCTGTTCCTCCTCCACCAGTTGTCTTCCCCAACCTTACATACATTCCATTATAGGATAGAATTAAAGATAAAAGAGAGAGAGTGTGTTTGAGGAGTGTCTGCCTTAGACAGAGATGTTTAATCATGCAGTAAGTCTTCAGAGAATGTATGACAAGCCCCATCTTCAAAACAAGACCTGAGCACTGAGGTTGGAGCGACCGGCACTAAGACTGGGCTCAGGCAACACAGATGGAAACAGCCCAATCATTGTCAAACCAGGCTCTCCAGTTCTGGGATTCTTAGCTCACTATTCACTGTATGGCGGCCTTTTCTTTCACTTTCTGAACTCCCACCTTTTTATTATCTTTGTGACCCCACTTCTTTTTCCTTTCTCCTCCTTCGTGAAAATGGCTGGGTTTATCCCACTGGTTCCCAAGACCTTTAACTTCCTGCCCTCCGTAAGGGGGCAGGTCCAACCTTAGCTCTCCGAGGTTCAGGGAGCCCTTAAATATTAACAGCTCCCGACCACCGTCTCACTTGCAATCAGTGGGTCCCAAAGTTCTCTTCCCAAAGGCCATTTTGTGACTTCCGTTAGCAAATGTATAAAAACGCTAACATCAATGTTTTCTTTTTTCCCTTCTACCCCTGCCCAAGGGGAAAGCAAACACGGCTGCATTTGCCATCCCTGATGGGCATCTCCTCCATCACACCTTCAAAACTCTCCCCTCGCATCTCTTTTTCTTGGCTTTGTCCATCCAACATTCAGGCTCTTTCACACCAGGCTGTCTCTCCCCGCCATCCTCCTGGGCACTGGCTAGGGGTGTCTAAGCTCGTTGATGGGGGTGTTGGGGTCTGATCCCCCTGCTCTGTTGCTTTCACCGTGCAAGCAGCAGCCACCCTGACTCCCTGCCCCTCTTCAGGAATGTCCTCCATCCTCCCCTCCCCACACCCCTCACCCACAGATCTGTCTCTAAATGCCCAGCCCCCTCTCCCCTGCCCAATCTTTCCAAGGGCCTTTATTCACTCGCCCCACGGGGCAGCTCCCATCCTACCCAGCCTAACAATTGAGCCCCCTGCCCCAAAGTATTGCCAGTCTATGTTCATAGTGCTCTTTATCCAATTTGGGAGCTCCCCATGGAGCTCAACCCTCCTGCTTCATGACAGGCAACAACAAGGACAACTCTGGGGGGTCCCACCCCTCCCTCCACAGGTTTGCTCTGATTTGGGGTATGTGGCTTCACTCTGCACCCCCTCATTTCTGCTCTGCCTAAGCTACTGAGCACAGGGGCTCCTGTTAGTCTTGGTGGGACTATGTGTATAATAAATCATAACACTGCAAGTGGGCATTAAATTCTAATTCTATGGATAGATACAGATCATAATCATTCCTTCCAAGTCCATGAAAGTGCCTTGCCCACAGAACATGTTATTTTCCAACCGAAGCCACTCTGCTTTTACACTGAAAGCTCAGCCCAGCGTGGCAAGCTCTGCCAGCACGGTTTTAATTCCTACCCCTACCACACCACTTTCGCTTGATGTGTTCATAAGTGTTTAAGTGAGTGAACATTCCTTTCTCCCACCCCAACTCCCCTCCCCCCCATACACACGCACGATACCACTGATTTTGACTTAAGGGAAAAGTAAATGCAGATTCCTGTGACCTTGAGTAGACAAGATGGAGAGTTAGCTTCCGCTATGATCATAATATCTTCCATTTATGGAATATATCAGAAAGCCGTGTCTGTGCTTGGGTGCCTGTTGAGCTAGAGAATAATCTAGAACCTGGGAGCACTGAGGATCAAAGCACCAGCTGCCCCCAAGCTCTCCTGTCTAGCCCACACCTCTCCGCAAGTTCCAGATTGAATTGCCTGCCAGATGTCCACTGAGGGGTCTCAGAGCACCCCAAAATATCCCTACCCAAGGCCAACTCCTTGGCTCCCTCTCTGCAAGGAAGCCAGGCAGAGACCTGGGAATTGTCCTGGACTCTTTCCCTTCAGTCACCCCCAACGTGGTCCAAGTTATACCCCAATCCTGCTGTCCCCACCACTTCCTCTTCAGCACAGAGCTAGGAGTGGCATTGCGGTGCCTTCCCTGCCTTTCCACCTGTACCCTGGGATTGACTTAAACCTTTGCCCCCTCTGCTGCCGACACCATAAGCCTGCAGAGAGCTCTGGGCTAGAAAGATGCATCTGGGGGCATCCAACGCCTCAGTCTCAGGACCCCAGCTTCCTTTGCTCCCTACCCCCACAGCATGCTCCATCAGAGGATGACGCAGCTTTCTGGGAGATTCCTTAAACAGGAAGTCTTAGGATAATAGCAGAAGCTGCTGATTCACATTCTGGAGGGTGGCAGACAAGGTTTTCCAAGGTCTGGCCTTTAATTTATAGCAATACTCAATCACGTGTAGTTCACCAAACCCCCCAGCCTTTGCCCTTGTGCCCCTTCCCTTCAGGAAAGTCTTTCACAACATCCTCACAGCCCCACACAACCCCTCCCCATTATTCATGGAGGAAAACCTATTGCAAGTTTGCATGGAGGTTACGCCCCCCCCCCCCAAGAGATCTTTCTGACTTTGGCCACCTCATCCACAGCCCTGTCTTAGTCAGCTCCGGCTGCTGTCTTAGTCAGCTCCGGCTGCTGTAGCAGATACTACAGAGAGAGTGGCTTCAATGGCAAACATTTATTTTTTCACAGATCTGGAGGCCAATAGTCCAAGATCAGGTTCCGGCAGGGTTTGGTGCCTGTTAAGGGCTCTCTTCCTGGCCTGTCAACAGTTGAGTCCTCAAGTTCTCACTGTACCCTCAGGTAACTTGTCCTCAGTGCCCATGGTGGGGGTGGGGGTGGGTAGAGAGAGAACACGCAGTATCTGGTGTCTCTTCCTCTTCTTATAAGGCCACCAATCCTATTGGATTAAGACCCCACCCTTATAACCTCAGCAAAACTTAATTACCTCCTAAAAGTCCTATATCCAAACACAGTCACGTTGGGGGTTATGGCTTCAACCTAAGAATTCTGAGGGAACACGGTTTAGTCCATAGCAACCCATACCCCAAATTCCCTCGTAGAACAAAACGCACTAACCTGTACCTACTAGAATAATGACTTCCATTGATTTGACTACTCTATGAATCAGTTTATTGAGTGTTTTAATATAGAAGTTATTTGCAATATATTTTGTTGTCATAGTGCCATGTTTCATTTTTATCATTTGATAAGTAGAAATATAATTTCTCTTTGTACATGTTTTCATTTGTACCTTATGAAATGTATAATATCTGGCTATTTTAACCTAAAAATGTCGATTCCATAGAGTTAAATCTAATAAATAGGTGTGTGTCATTTATCTTTGTATGTTGATCAACCATACAAATAATTTAACGTTGATTTGCTGATATGCGCACTATTTGTTCTACAAAAATTCTAAATAGAAAAGGTCAAAAGCAACTGGGATGATTATCCAAACATCAAACTCTATTTTATGAAACTAAGGAAGTTTCACAATTGCCATCCATCTGTGAGTCACCGCAGGAAAAAGAACTGATGGACTGATAAAGTCCCACTTCACCTGCCTCGGAAGGAACCACGCCCTCTCTTCTCTCATGAATTATTAAAATCGAAGGACAAAAGTTGCCATTCTGGAAATGGATGGATGTTGTCAGCTATCTTGTAACAAGTTAGATTTTACTTACCTTTAGCTCATAGTTCCCTCTCACATACATAGTAAAAGACAAAAAAAAAAAAAAATATGCTAGGGATCATTAAACTCACTGGTGCTATGGTCTCTAACTACATCTTCCATGTTTACTAAGACCATTTAAGGTTTAATCTTTAATCTCACTTATATTAGACATTAAGAACAATGTGGACCTGTATTCCAGACACTGATTCCTTATGAAGCTAGTCTATAAAACAATCATGTTAATTTATGGAAGTCACACAGGAAAGGCAGATGGACTGTGGTTACACATCACTTGCTGAACTTAGTGTCAAGCCTTACTTCCCTAAGAGGTTGAGGCTGCTAAGAGTTGTTTGTTGAGAAGCTGCAGAAAGAGCGTACTTGGGTGTTCCCACACCAAACCAGACTGTGAGCCCCAGAAATGGAGAAGGCTCAGCATGCCCTGCCCTCCATTATGGCCATTTCTAAGGCAGACTTCCAGCCCCTGCATTACCCACTAACTGGACTCGCCTATGCATATAAAATGGCCGCTCACAAGGGCCATTAAGAACTGCCATTCCTTTCTAATGGAAATGAGTTCATGCACTGAAAGATAAGAATTCACCCACATGATTTCTGAGCTGACTAATTTCTACAGCTAGAGAATTGGAAAACCTCCGCATTTTTTAGGGAGCTCAGAATTGCTACCCTACAGCTCTCTCTGCCCCATCGGAGCCTCCTCCCCACCCACAGCCACTGACCAGTGAGCAATAAGAGATTCCCTCTTCCCCTAGACTTGGGTTTCATTTTTGCTAGCCACTCCCTTAGACTTGAGGTTCCAGAACTTTCCTTGCTTTTCAAATTACTTTCATCTTGATCCAAGATTGAGATACCAGTTGCCCTGGTGTTTTTCTTGTTCATTATTCTTAGAAACACATTCCCAGTGGGAGCATGGAACCAACGACTCCGCACATTCTGAAAAAGAAGCCAAACAGTGTCCTCACCCTCCAGCACCTCCCATCTATCCATTCACCTATTTTTCAGAGCCTGTTCTCAGCTATCTCACTCACCACCACTGCGTTTGACCAAGCCAGTCACCACATGTTGGCTTCTGAAGAATGTGACTGCAAGTGACCGCCACTCTTCCCTCTAGCCCCTCACTCTTCCTCTCCCACACATAACTTTCTTTTCATGGAATTTACAAAAACATGTGACAAGCTGATTCTAAAAAGCTGCTGGTGCCTCCTACAGAGTCCATCATAAAGAGTGGAAGAAACAGCCAAAGAAGCTACTGCCCATTACTACTAATAAAAGCAGGGACCTCGAATCCTATTTATTTTCTCAATTCATTGAAAGAGATTTTATAGGTTTATTATTTTTTTTTCCCAGTACGGTTGACCTTGAATAACACAGGTTCAACCTGCACAGGTCCCACTTGTAGGTGGATTTTTTTCAATGAAAGTTACACCGAGTGTGCCTGCCTCTCCTGCCTCCCCTTCTACCTCCCCCACCTCTTCTGCCTCTGCCACCCCTGCCTCTTCCTCCTCCTCCTCACCCTCAGCCTACTCGACGTGAAGATGATGAGGATGAAGGCCTTTATGATGATCCTCTTCCACTTAATGAATAGCAAATATATTTTCTCTTCCTTTTGCTTAATAACATTTTCTTTTCTCTGGCTTACTTTATTGTAAAAATACAGTATCTAATACATATACAAATTTGTGTTAATTGGCTGTTTATTTTATCAATAAGGAATCTGATCAACAGTAGGCAATTGGTAGTTTAGTTTTGGAGGAGTCAAAAGTTTTCTGTGGATTTTTGACTGCATGGGGGAAGGGGTCTGTACCCTTAACCCCTATGCTACTCAAAGGTCAACTGTAATTTCTTGGCTGTACCCCAAATTTGAGAGGCACTTAAAACTGCTGATTGAATTTTTCTTGTCTAAAAATAGGTGGCATTTGTCTGAGAAATCTTGAACCTAGAAAAGCACAGATTCAATGTGAATTCTAAAAAGATATACCCTCCCATCTATATACCTTAAGATTTCCCTAGAATTTCATTGACTGGTGCCCAGATAGTTATCAAATTAAGCTTGAGGAAGGAAAAGAGAGTGCTTGTCCTTGAGAAGTTTATAGAGAACAGAAGCACCAGAATAGGGCCATTTCATAGCTTAGAAAAATTGAACACTTCTAAGTGGCACCCAAAAAAGTAAATCATTTTTAAAATGTGAACATTTTATTTCTTTTCCATTACAACATCAAATATCATTAGTAGATCAAGTTGGTTTGCTCCTCTTATTAACAGCAATACAAAAAGGCTAATCTTTTAGTGCTTAAAAGTGTTCCCTTTAAAAAATATGCTTTTTAGAGATTAAAGAAATATATAACTAAATGTAATCTTAGACAAGGTCTTGTATTGAAAGAAAAAAAATGTTATAAGGACATTATTGGGTCAACTAACGAAACTGGAATATGGAACAGTAGATTAGATTATTATGTCGATGCTAAATTTACCAAAGTTAATAAGTGTACTATGGCTATGCAAGATAATAAATAGCATTGTTCCTAGAAAATACGCCCTGAAGTATTTAAGGGGTAAAGGGCTATGATCTATGCAATTTACTTGCAAATGTCCAGGAAAAAAATATCACATGTGTGTATTGTATGTACATGTACATGTGTGTATATATATGTACAGAAAGAGAGAGAGCAAACAAATGACAAAGTAGCTGGAGTCAAGTGTCCACAATAGGGGAAGCTGGGTAAAGGATATTTGTTGTGCTTTTTAATATTTTTATTACTGCAATTTTTCTGTAATTTGAAATTATTTCCAAACTAAAAGTTTTTAAAATATATGCCTTATGGTTTTAAGTTATGTTCTGAAGTAAAGTGGAAAGTGGAGAGACAAAAGGGAAGAACAAGAAAAAAAATTAATGTCGGGAAAATAATTCTCTGAGCATCTAGGTGGCTTCTTCTCATCTTCAGAGATGGATCAATGTTGGAAACATGCATAGTGCTCTGTCCCCTAGGTGCACTCTTATGTTTCCAGTCCTCTTCAAACCGTAAACAGCCTTAAACAGTACTCAGCTTGGCTCAAAAATGCCTACCAACAAAACGTGTGAAAACGAGCATGTTGGCGGGAATGGTGCACGCTGTTCTCTTGGCTCTGAGCACTTGGATTCGTCTGCTGCTCGCAGAGCCGCTGAATCAGGCGCACACATTTCTGTGCTAAACCCCAGGGGCAGTTCCTGGGGACTGAAGTTCAAAGGGACACAGAGCTTCAAACATCTCTTTTAACACTTAAAATTCCTTAGAAATAGATGGCTATGTTCCACACCAAGTAACATATAAGTAAACAATATCTCATATTGTTTACTATAGTAAACAATATCTATAGTAAAAAATATCTCATAATAATATAGTAAACAATACCTCATAATAATTAGTATCATTCTATTCTAAGTTTTTGAAATGCATTAACTCATTTAATGCTCATAAGAACCTTATAAGTGAAGTATTATGTTTATTTCCAATTTACAACCGAAGAAACCAAAGCCCAGAGGGAGTAAGTGACTTGCCGAAGGTCACACAACTGGTAAGTTGCTGAATTTGAACCCAGGAAGGTTGACCCTAAAGACCATTATTAATTACCTCACTCAACTGCCTTACTCTCCTAGGACTCAGACATCAGTCTTTGTCTGTTTGCCAGTTGAAGCAATTGTAATTATCCTAGTTGACTGGCTGGGATGTCACTAGAGATGCAATATTGTCTTTGTTTGAAATCTCATTATCTAAGTTTCATAAAGCAAATCCCTATAGAGAAGTCACGTTTACTCTATGGCCATTATTAAATTTCTAGGGCTATGTTCAGCATTTGTTCTTTTCAGCATGAAATTCTCAACAACTTCCTCATAACCCAAAATGATCTCTCCTCTCTGAATCCATTATGAATCATCAAGTGGCGTTGATCTTTCATAACAATAGGAAATGCACCATTTCCTTGGACTTAATTCTTGAGTGGCGTGATCTAAGACTTGTTTGGTTGGTTTAGGTAGTACTTCATATAGATTCTGATCAAGAAATCCATTTTCCTCTCTCAGGAAGCAAGAGATCCACAGTAGGCTTTCTTGGCAACCACTTACTACATGGGCTTCCTTTCCCCAATAGAAAGCCCCACAGCAATAGTATGGGTGATATCTATATTACAGTAGAGATTATAGTAGTATAGTCACGATGGTACTCATTATAATAGAAATAGTAGTAGTGGCTAACACTTCACGGAATATCAGGCATTATTCTAAATACTTAACCCCATCACATCCTGAGAATGTAAGTACTGTCAGTATCCCATTTATAGATGAGGAAACTGAGGCACAAAATAAGGAGGGTATGTTGGCCATTGGAACGTCATAGGTTGCAACCACCCAGTATTGGGCAGACAGCCTAACTACTATAAGGAAAGAGCCTACAACGTGGCAGCATAACCTAAAGAAGTTTTATATGGCACTCGTATCAGTCTGGTCAGATGTTCGGCAGCAGCCTCACAAGGTGACTCAGAAACCCTGGCCCCTTCCTCCCAGGGTCTCCACCATTGTCTGGCCCTTGGACCTCTTCCAGCTGATGGTAAGTGACGAGGACTGAAATGTGGTCTCCTGTGTGACCAAGAGAAAGATGAGAGCCTTGGCGAACATGTGGCATGCTCTCAGAGAGACCTCACAGCCCTGGGTCGGTGGGCACAGAGGAGAGAGAGCAAGAGAAGAATTTTGGTTCCTGACTCCCTAACCCATGTGGCTGCCACCTTCCCGCCCTCTCACCCTGCCCCTGCAGAGAGCCAGCATGCACACGGATCAGACTGTGACTGCTCGTGTTTGCAAGAGCGGTCAGCCCTCTGGGTCTCCCAAGCCGGGGTCTTCTCCCACAGCTGAACAGGAGACGCGGGGTGGAATGAGAGCCACAGATGTGTGAACTTCCTTTGACTCTCCGGAGCTTTGGCCTGAAATAAGCAGAATGCTGACACGCTGGCACGGCCGTGACCCGGGCAAGGCTTTGTCTCGGAGGAGCCTGTTCCCGAATGCCTGGGCAGGGCTCGCCAGCCGAGCGGCTCTCCGGTTCCCACCACACCTTATTTGTTTATTAGGTCACAAAACTTTCACGAAGTTAAGCCAGGCATAGCGGGGCTTATGTGACAACAGGTACAAGCCTCCAGGAAGAGCGGTGGCACTGAGACAGGCACTCATTGAAGGTTTTAACCACCGCCCTCCTCACCATTCCAGCAGGAACTATTTATTCTGCATTTAATTTGGTTCATCAGTCAGACTTTCCTTTTTATTACGTATAGTAGAGAAATATCTTATCCAACATCAAACTCTGGACATTCAGACTTTGATTGGGCCAAAGACAAATCTTCGTGTTGCTATTAAAATATCTCTCAAAGATCTCAACTTTGCCTGCTTTTATTGTTGCAGGAGACATTTATATAGTAAAGCCACCACCCAAAAGCATCTTTAATGTAGCATCATTAATTCAAGATTTCTTTAGAAACTTGCGAGTCAACATAACTCTTCCCCTGACCAGTGTGATTCTTGAAGCACTAACTTCCACCTGGAGTCAGGACCTACCTGTTGGGGCACAGCCGGGTCAGGCTTCTCATTGCTCTCAGAGTGGACAAGCTGTCTCTTTAAACACTAAAACTGTTTTTCAAGAATATTACTTGTTTTCCCAGGAAAAATAATGCAGTGTTTAAGAACCACTGCAGTGTTCACTGCAAATATACAGCACAAAAATGTTAAAGACCAAATATAGAAATAACCCATTCTCTCTCTCTCTTGCGCTCTCTCTCTCTCTCTCTCCCTTTTCCCTTCCTTTACCTCTGCCTTTCTCTTTCTCTCTCTTCTTCTACCTACCTCCTCTACTCTTGTAAGAGCTATCAAATGTAAATCGAGAAAGGAGAAAACTTCCCAAATAAAACTATACAAGCAATCCATCAGGCATAATACCTGTGTAATTCTGTAGGAAGCTCATTATGTAAGCATGACCTGGCAGAACTAGAAAAAACAAACAGAAAGGAGCAGCTGGAAACCAATGTACCTGGTACAGCTAATAAATAAATAAACCCTGATATTTTTAGTGCAGAGAGAAATAACATTTATCGGGTGTCAGGCGGGTGGGAGGGGGGAGGGGGCATGGGCAATATATGTAACCTTAACATCTGTACCCCCATAATATGCTGAAATTAAAAAAAAGAGTTAAATAAGACCACTGATGTGATAACAATGATAGGAATATAACCACATTTAAAATAAACGAATCCTGC